TCATAGTACATCTTCACCTCGTCAACTGGCCTGCTAGAGGACTCATCTCCATTGGACGCATGGAAGGTGGCAGTAATGCGATCGTTGCCCTTGTTCACGTACTTGAACAAATATTTTATGGACCTCGACTGGTTGCACCACTCCATATTTATGTGCGCTCCATACTTCAGAAGCAATTTCATGTTATGGGGCACAACGTATCTGTTATCCAGGGGAATGCCATCTTTTCAATGGTCCTGCCATTATCACGTCGTCTGTATCGTGGATAGCCTTCTTCGTCAAGAGTCGTGGTTTCGGAGAACTTTTTTGGAAATGTTTTGTGCAACAATCGTTCGCCATACACGGAGATTTCGGGCGAACACTTTCGCAGGGGCCATGCATCATATGATCTCTAACAGCAGCATAGTAAAATGGATCGGTGGCCTCATCTGGTATTTCGGCAGAAATTATATTATCTATGTCATCAGTAGTCTTTATCTTGAATTCCTTGGCAAGGAAAACCAAGATATGCACATGCGGAAGGCCACGTTTCTGGAATTCAATAGTGTAGATTGCTGCAGTAAATCCATAGTTTTGTCAAAATTAATAAATAGCAAAAAAGTATAATAAAATTTAGGAAGAAATCAGTTAAAAATTAGTTTGAAGATATATCTGCATTCACGTCTCCAAACATCTTGTTATGACGAACATCCCTCATCAACTGATCCAACATGGTCTTAAAAATCCGGCAAATAATATCAGAACAATCCTCTGGGTTGAGGTTCTTCTCAGCAAGAAAGCGACTAATTTCGGGCCATTTTGGATTGCATGTGAAGGTTATGAAAATGTCACGATAACCGGTCCAACGACAAATGGTCATTGCACCCTGATAATTCTGAACCATATATCTAGCACCACCCGTAAATGATGAAGGAAGTATGATACGTTTGCCTTGAGAACCAGGATCCGTGTCACCACGCAGCACAGCGTCGGAAAGTCTGCTGTACAATTTAGTTCTCAAGTTCTTCTGATTAAAACGTATGTATCTGAGTCGAGATCCCTCCACCATTGTATACGCGCCCACAACAAACTGCTGATACAACCTCCAAGCGGAAAGAATTGACAACATTTCGGAGTCCCGATCGTGCATTCGATATTTGAAGAACTCCAACGGGCTGATAAATTTCCTCGACCATCCTCGCCATATGGAAAAAGAATAGGATAATTGAGTGCCAAGTAAGAAGCGTTTAACTCGTTTATCCGCTACAGACGTCCGCTCCGATTTTCTACTATAATATCCCTGCTGCCCATGGCATCATCGAAATCCCCAACAACTAAGGTGGCAACTTCAGAAGTGGTTGGTAAATTATAACGCCGACCATCCTTGTTCCTTCTACCGATAAGACGCATCTTAACTTCAATTTGCTGGTGCTGGTTCACCGTCTACCGAGCCATCCTGAACGACTTGACCAAAACATTATAATGATCGAGCATCTCTTTTAAACCGTGAACTACATCCTGATCTATATTATTTCGTTCAGAACCTCTCCTTAAATAATCATAATTTTGTTTTGAATTAGTAAAGATGATGTAAACCGCAATGGAAAAAAAAAAAAACTTAGTACTCACTTTTGAATGTTAAAATATAAGATATACCTCACAGAAGACAACCTGTTTGATACTTCGTTCTCTGTGTCATAGATGTACAATTGAGAAAATTTCGGAGGAGCCCCATGGTCAGGTAGCAAACTACCCATTAAATGGTAGTTTTGACCGTGCAAACGGAAGACAGGTGGGCCTGTTCCCTTGTTTATGCCGGTATCAATTTTTCCCCCCATGGATGTAAAGCAGAACATGTTGTTGTAAGACCGAATGTTTTCTTGAAACCGCTTGCTACGTGAAGCTGATCCAAAAATCAGCTCACCCAGAAAGGAGGGAGGAGTGTAAACGGATGGAAGTTCGATGAATCCGATGTTGCAGCAACCAGAATACTTAGGGACTTTAGGTTTAGATGGCTTGCCCAATCGCTCAGAGTACTAAAATCTCGCGCCACAGTGAAGGCAGCGGAATGATGCATCGCCAATATCCCAATATTCTGTGGCATTGTAATTTTTATTTAAAATCAATTACAGATGTAAATATTCTAAAAATCTACAAACTCGTGGATAAAAAGACCATAAAATAAATAAAAATTAAAAATATCTTTTAAAAAATAATTAGCTTTTTTTATTGATGAGTTTGACGAACCAGAAGATAATGTGGATCTGTTGATGGTAATGGAAGGAGAGATTGGGAGCCTCGGACGGCCGCCTATATTCGTCCGAGGTGGCAAGCTCAAAGATGAAACTACAGGACATTCGATTTTATTGGTATAATCATTGAAGATATAACATGTACATATAGAGGATTATTTTTTTCCACATAAATTAAACTGAACAAATTAATTGTGTTTTTGGAATTACCATTTGTGACGGGTCGTAAGGCGAATCTCGGACGACCGCCTACGTTCTTCCGAGGTGGCAAGTTTGATGGTGAAACTTGAAAAAATATACGCGAGGTAAATATATATGAGTAATTAAATTTTAGATTTTGTTATAAAATAAATCAAGTGAGATCATTTGATAATGAATTTAGGATTACCTTTGTTGACATGGTTAAGCAACGAAGTCGGTGTCGCATTTTTATCATCCTCAATTGTAAGGTCAATAAAAGGTACTGAATCGCTCGAAGAAGCATTAGCGAGGTGGGATATGGAACTATTTAGAAACGAACGATGTGAATTTGTCATTGGAATACCTAAAATGAAAAGTTATATAAGAGTAAATAAAAATAAACATATCAATAACAATATTTATTATACTGACACAAAAAATTATCAATTCTAAAGAATTTACAACAATTTAAAAAATATAATCATACCCAGTTTTTGAATGATAGAACATGCATTAGTAGGAGCTGTTGGTGTTTGGAACGAAGGTGTTACCATAGACAAATTTGATATTGAACCTGCAATAATTAAATAAATATAGTTGAATTTAAGTTACAACATCTGTAAATTTAATAATGTCAAACTTAATATTATATAAATTTGAGAAATAATAAATTGTAAAAAAAATTTGAAGTTTATAATATAACAGTTTTGTATAATTATATACCTGTAATATTTTTACTTGTTTAAATGAAAAAATTAGTACTACAACTTAGATTTGGGATCAATATTTGTATTAATTATATGTCTACTACATATCATATTCTAAACATTATTGGGCCAGGAAAAATTATGAGCCCAATATAAATTGTTGGAGTACATTTGAGCCTTATTATCATATTTGTCTTATTATATGGACTGTTATAAACACTAATGGGATGAAAGGTCCAAAACTTGCACCACTTTTACTATCTCTTGTTGGATCGGAAAAACCATTTATGAGTCCAACGGTTCAGAAAAGCAGCTTAAATGCGACGCGTCACGCGTGTCTATAAAGCTACCACATTTATGAGACGCGTGTCTGGACAGCTCATTTATATAGAGCAAACCCTAAATGCGTCTTTCATTTGGCCATTTTTCTCGCGGCTCTCGCTTTTCTTACGCCGATTCTCTCTCTCTCTCATTTATCTCTCTACTAAAAATTTCGACCATTTTTCGCCGGTAATTTCGCCATGAACGATGTTTTCACCGGCGATTGAATTCAATTTTTGAAGCTGATACCGAAAAATACCTGAGATCTTATTATTTCGAATCAAAAGGGAGACGACAGTGAAAAATCGGCCCGATTTTGCAACACCGATTTACTGATTCATAGTATATTGGTACAAATTGGGCGATAACATAGAGATGTATGCAGATCTATATATTTTTTTTAATTTTTTTTATTGTTTTGATCTGTTTTTTTAAATCATGATTACATAATGGATATGAATATATTATTATAGATCTGTTTTGTTTTCATTTAATTACATTATATATATTGCTAGATCTAAAAATTTTCAGTTTTGTTTAGATCTGTTGAAATATACGAATTTCCAATTTTTTCAAAAATTTCCTTCGATTAAAATTTTGACGCGATCATAGATCTGTAAAGATATCTACTGTTTTTGTGTTTATTTATTTTTTAAAGTTTATATTCTGAGATTCTCGATTGGGATTTGTTTCCGACATCCGTGTAACAGGCAATCTGTGAACTTATGTTCTATAATTCACAGTCGGAAACTCACTGCTTTATTTTAAAATTACAGTTTTATGTTAATTTTTTTTGTTTTTTTTTTTTTTTTTTTTTTTTTTTTCCAAAAATCTACATATGAACACTCATATCATTAAGTTAACTTTTCAGTTTTATTTTAATTTTTCAGTTTTATGTTCAAATTTTTTATAAGATTTATGATTTTGTTAATCAGTTTCAAGGGACAGAGAGATAATAAAGGTAATATTTAAGTTCATTGTCAATATTATGTTTAGTATACTAATAACTATACTACTATGTATAATAGCGTTCAAATAAATGTAACGACAAATCGTGTGCAGCTACAAAAATTGTTCTAATAGT